GAAAGTCATAATTTTTAAAACAAAAACTCTTCATCATTTGCCAGTCACCACCCACCTCTGACATGTAGTACCCTAAACCCCATTGTGTGGTCAAGAGTCGCAGTTTCAGTGAGAATCAGTAAAAAAAAAAAAATGAAGACATGGCTCATGGTGTATCATAGGGAACTGACCAGAACAGGCCAGAGCAGCCAAGAGACACCTGGGAGATAAATGGTCCGTAATGTTTGTTTTTTGTTTTTTTACGGTTTGAAGACTGGACTCTATTTTCCCCAGAACACACTAATTTCTTCTTCTTTTTTTTGTAGCATCTTTTACTGCTAGATTTGTTTCTTTCCTCCTGATTGGCATTTTATTTTGAAGAGGCCAATGTTGCAGTCTGCATCTGTGTCCATGCATGTTTATATGCACATGGATGTAGTAGACAGTTTGTTCTAGTACATTCCAGAAACTGTTCTTGTTCTCTGATCGCTCCACACTCCTCTCAGCTGTATCACCACTCTAGGAGTACGCTCGGGCTTTGGGTAACATCTGTTCTGTTGTTGACATCGTTCATCTTAACTTGAACCTAATCTTGGCTTAGACATCAAATTATTGCAGATCTTGAACCTCATTGACAGAAGCACTTGTCTTTGTTTTTTCTTTGTAGCTGTGCTGTTCTCAGTGGACTGAATGTTCTTTCTTTGTAAATATATGTACAATATTTTTAAGTGACTTTTTTCTTTTGTTTTTGCAGCAGTTTTATTTTGTTGTTGTACAGTTTACTTAAAACCCAGGTTGTTTTTTTTCCCCAAATCCCTAGTGCACATTCATGAGCAGGAAAGTAAATTGACTTGGATGTGTTGCATATGTTGCATTCACTACGATCCAGAAATGGCAGTTTACTCTTAAGAATGTTAGTAGTTGTCCAAGTCATCTTAGTGATTGGGAAATTATATATAAGGTATATATCTTTAACAGGGACTCATGCATACTCGCTCTGTGCTTGGCTCACGAGCAGTGACGATGAAGAGGGCTGTTCTCCATGTATATTTCATTTAGGTTCAATAAGAGTTCAATCAAACAGAAATATAACTTGAAGAGGACTCTCATCCAAGATGATATGTGAATATTCAAGCACTGTGGTGAAATCACCAAAGTGAAATAAACCTTAATACTAATTTCTCCTTTGGTGTGTCACAAAGCAGAGCAACGGGTCGTTTCATTGTAAATTTTATGGAGTTACTTTTGCCATTAGGAGAGTGTGTGTGTGTGTGTGTGTGTGTGTGTGTGTGTGTGTGTAAAACGCCATTGCGGGGATGCAGCGAGTGAGCTCTAAATGGCCAAAACCATGATGGGTACCATAATTAGGCCATAATATCCCTTGTTGTAATAATTTGTGAAATATGTATATTTTAGGCATTCAAAGAAATAAATTGGAATGGTTTAACAATGACAGATATATGGGAATTATATGTTGATGTTTCTTGAGTTGTAATGTGTTCAGCTGATGGTGTGAAACAAGAAAAACAAGGGGCAGTGATATGATTGTTTATCCATCGAAGATTCACCCACTTTACATTCATAAAAACTCATTCCTAATAAAACATACAATCCAATGATAAAAGATCTGCAAAAATATTTTCCTTATTGTACACACTGGCACCTACTTTGACAGTGAATATCATTAAGAAGCCCCCTAGAAAAATCAAAAACAATTAGTCAGCAGCAATTTCCTTACATACAAAAAGGTTTTGTCATCTACTGGATCTACATTACAAATGTATTGTCTGTCAACCCACAGGTAGTGTTTGCCTGCTGTTGCATAGCAAATAATGCAAACTTAATGTCACATGAGACACAGGGACATAATTCCAGATATACAGGCAGTAAAAATAAACTGTTGTAAAATTGCCCCTTTTAACATTATTTTTAAAAGCTCTATTCAAAGAATCATTTTTTTGCAAAATGCTCTTTTGAAACGCACAGACAACAGATATTCTTCCAGTCGAACGTTTGGATACACGGTCTGAGCAGGAAAACGTGCATATTTTGACTGTAGTGTATTAAACTGCTCCATGAGGCTATAATAATTAATCTGAACTGCCTGAACAGCCTGGTAGCTTTAAAAATTAATCATAGTGTTAAGGATAATAAGGTGCAGCTGTGCTTTGCTTTAGTAAATGTTTGTGTTTGTCAGTATTCAAGTAGCCATCACATTAGTGTACCAGAAGCAAAGTCTTGTCACCCGTATCATATAATTTTGAATCACTCAAGGAAAGACATTAGTAACCTTACATCATTTTTGCCATATATAACAGTAACTTTAGGTTCTCACAAATAAAACAAACAGAATGCTCTTACAGTGTCTCGATGAGTTTTCTACTTGGTAGGGTAATGCTGTAGCTGCTTCCTACAGTGCAGCTACCCTGATGAGGAAGCCATACACTTATGTAAGACTATCTGTATCACATCAGACAACTCTGTCCTGTAGTTTCTATGTATGTAACGTGCCTTTAAAAATCCCCAGTGATTGTCAGCTTCACTTTACCTTTTCATACTTTGTGTATCTGATGCAAGCTTACTTAAGATGCGTCTCCACTGGTTCCTGCTCATCGTTCTCATAGCTAGACTGGTGAGCAGGAGACACATACTGAGGTTCTTCAGACTCCTCCACTGACCCTGTTGCATGCTCGACAGAGTGAATGAGAGAATCGTCTGCTTTAGACTCGTCTATAGCCGAGGATGGGAGGCGATCAACAGCAGATGGGTAGGGACGGTCCTCAGCTGGGACAGAGGATTCAGCAGCAATGTAAAGGGACTCTGTAGGGAGAGGCACTGCGCCCATAGGTGGACTTGGACAATCGCTAGACTCAGTAGGAAAGCTTTGTAGGTTTGTAGACTCTGTGACCAGATGAGATGGTTCAGCTGCCGGTATGCCTGAATCAGACAAAAATCCAGTGAAAGCAAGAGCAGAGTCGAGGTCCATGGCTGCCCGGGAGCTCAGCCCCTGTGGCTCTGTCAGGTTGTCTGCTGATGATGAGAGCAGCACACTATCCCCCAGCTCCTCTGTACAACAGAATCAGATGTAGTCTGGATTAATCTACACATGGGAGGTGCAGGACATTGGTATGAACCACAGCTGTGTTGACTCACCAACACCAGAGATTTCGCTGTCCTTCTCGTCCTCATGCATCATCAGCGAAGTGTTGGTCACGTCTACGGACGACATGGCCAGATCCAGCCTGTCTACCAAGTCTGCAGCGTTGGGGTTCATTGCTGCCACTTCAGAGTCAGAGAAGCCTGGAAAAACAACACAAGACAAACAGATAAGATTTTCATGAACACAACATCAACACAAGTCTAGAGAGGTCTTTTAAACACTGCAATTCTGAACTGACCAGGGTCCATGACTCTCTGGATGGGTGGAGGTAGAAGAGCTTCCTGGAGGGTGATCTGCTCCAGGTCCAACACACCTTGGCTTGGGCTTGAAAGCGCCATCAGCGGCGCCTGGAAACAGACAGAGTAAAGCCTTGTGGCTAATGCCATGAGTTTATCTCTTGTAACAACAAAAAAATCAGTGTGGCTGTTCAGGAAGTCAAAAACAACAGTAACAGATGTCTGTTGTCTCTGCATTCAATACAGTACAGTACACTTGCAAACAGGAAGTGGAACAAACAATGAAAACAAATTAAATGATTCGTCTGATTAATTGTTTACAGAAGAGGATTAGAGTCAGTGTAGATAAAATGAGTTCTGACTTTTTTCTTAGAATTCTGACTTTTTTACTGAAAAATTCTGAGAAATAAGTCACAACTCAATTTTTTACACTGGCCCTAATCCTCTTTTGTACTTGTTTAACAGCTTTGACAATCTGTAAGTCAAACTTTTAGAGGTATGGCTGGCGATTCTTTTCAGAAGCATTTTTTGTTACATTTATTGAATTTCTCTTTTCATCCCGATGGCAATGACTACATTAAATCCACTGACAACATAAACAAAAAAATCTGTCATCCATGGCAGCAGCAGGCCTGAAAAATGCATGGCCAATAATTTTACTCATCCCAAGCCACTGGATGGCAACCTACTTCCTACTTGTGAGCACCCTGCCCTTGCACAAGTCAAGAGTCTCCTACAAGGCATTGCAGGCAGACATGTTACTGCTCTGTTGTACAGCTAAACTTAGAGAGCTATGGCCGAGAAGGTCCCCACATCAGCTTTCATTCACAAACAGAGACTGTTGTTACAGGCCAGGCCGTCCCCTTTGAAACATACAGCCTTATGGGTAATGTTGTTGCTAGACGTTGCTACTTACGTGCAGTGTGCACAGTATGAAAGTGAGAAGACCACCACATAGAACAGATGTGTTTTACATGCAGCCAGCCAGTAGTCGGCTCTAAGTGTATAGATAGGATTGTAATGCAGTTAACTGGGCATCAAGGCCTCGTGCAGTGTTTGTGTTACCAAGACAGAATAAAGCTGTGTTTTGAACGGCGTTAACTGGCCGCCCTCTTCACTTCTGCCTGTAGAAAAGTACAGACTTCTAAGGCTAGGTGCCGCTACAAGCCAGGGTTAAAGCAGTTTAGCGCTGGATCAGAGGTCTCCAACTGTGGTTCACTACAGATCTGGGTGGGTAACGCTGGGTGAGAAAGTTACAACTAAAATGAAGTTGGATGCTGCAAAAAGTAAAACCAGAATTAACATTGATGTGGCTTCTGAATGATGGTGACAACTGAGAGAACAAAAGGGGCTGAAAAGTGACACCATGGTGGCTGTGTTTGTGCTGGACAGGTAATTATCATTTGTTTTGTTTGGGGGCCATTTGTTATTTTCCTGAAACCTGTAAGTAATAGTAGGGCAGTGCACATTGCAGTGCACGTCGTGTTTTGGAGGAGTGGAGTGGCTTTGGAGAGAAGTCGGAACAAAAGGGTGGGATTTCTTTGGTTGTCTACTTTCAAAGTCGAGCTTCCTCTTGCTGGTTTTTATAGGATCGCCAACCCTACCTTTAATTAGTTAATTTAAAAGATACCTGATAATTATTCATAAGTGCAAGTAATCATGAGTTGCAGCATTAATGGCACATACTTCTGTGTATCCTTGTGTCAGAAGCTGGGGAGAGGGTTTCTCCTCAGGAACAGGGGAAGGATGCCTCACTGGCGATACATCAGGATTCGCAGGGATTCGGTGCAGGTAGCCATAACCAATGCCACAACCCAAACTAAGAGAAAACATTTTTATATTTTTTATAGTAGTTCATATTATAATAGTACCATTAAACAGTTGATACCTTTTACTGTACAACATAAAATAATTCTGTATAAAAAGAGCCTCACTGTACTTGGGTGACAAGCAGACTTTGTTTATTCTTACACTGACTGATTTAGTCTGTAAACTTTAAACAACGGGAAGCAAATCTTGTTTAAAACACTAGAATCAACCATGGATGCACCTTCATGTAGCATAACAACAGTGTTAGAGGAACACTGTGCTGTAACCTTTTCAAATGGAAAAGTAGTGATTGTTATCTCAATTAGACAAAACAGTTCTAAGGAAAACAAACATTTACTCAATTCAGTGATGTTTGCCAGTCATCACAAATCCTTATGTACAGTTATGGCCAAAAATATTGGTACTCCTGCATTTCTGTCAGATAACGCATCACTTTTCCCAGAAAATGTTTGCAATCACAAATTCTTTGGTGTTCCCATGTTTATTCCTTTTGTTTGCATTGAAATGACAAAACAAATCTGATACATTATATGAGTGTTGTCACATACCTGCCTTCTCCTCCCCATGCTCCATTTGGTGTGACCATCACCTCTCTGCAGGTATCAATCTGTGTGTTGTACACCAGCAGCTTCAGGGGCTTCCCTTCATGAGCCTCGATGAGTGAGAAGAAGTCCTCTGACTGGAAATCATAACCTCTGAATTAACTACACATCCTTTTCAAAGATGCCCTCATATGTGCAACCTTAAATGGGTATTAACTTTAAGTAAAGTCCCACATATGTTCACATTTCAGCACGATATGTAAGAACTTAACTTTATCAATGATGCATGATATTAAAATGAGTCTTACATCTTGCAACACCTGATCTGCTCCAACAATGTAGTCAGAGTGAGGCTGAAGCCCTGCCAGTGCAGCAGGTGAACTGGGCTCCACATCCTGTGAGGGAGATATGTCAGTTATAGAGCAAACAAAATATGAAGCTACAGTATGAAGAGGCAATGAACAAAGAAGCTCATATCAGTCAGGTCAATAGGCTTTCTTATCTCTCAAGCAACTCACCAGGATGTGCCAGACATTCTCACTGGCTCCTTGGTAGCTGCAGAAGCGAACAGTGGCACCCAGCAGGCCCTGCCCTCCCCACATGTTACTGGGCACCACCTCCAGCTCACGAACACTAGTGGTTTTAATGCTGTACACCTCCATCTTCACTGTTCTCTCTATGTTTGCCTTCAGGAGCGTCTTCAGAATTTCATTCTCCTCATTCTGGCATACAGTAATGAAAGGGATCAAAAGTCAAATGTTTTATTAAGCTGTAGCTACATGGTATGAGACAAGCTTCTCTTTTTAACGTTAATGTGCTCGTATGTCTGTACATCCTTTATAGTTAATAAACTTACAAGTCTTTTGTTGTCCACAGACAAAATGAAGTCAAAGAAGGGCTGCAGTCCAGCCTTTTCTGCAGGGGAGTTCGGCACCACCTGTAAAAAACAACACAAATTTTTAACCTTTGGTGCTTCATCACTGCATAAAGTCGTACTATTAGACAATCATTTGGGAAATTAATTTTCAAAATATGAAAATGAATAAACAGAGAAGCATGTTTTTAGAGCATTCAAAAATGCTAAATCCAAACTACATCACTGCAGTAAATAGCTGCAACTAGGGACTAATTTTATTATAGATTTCAATAATATATCTATATATTTTGGATTATTCAAAAAATGTTCTGTGGGGGTTCTCATTCATCCAGGCCATAATATACTGTGGTGAAAACTGTGGTCGTGAGGACAAGTTAGAGAATTCTTTAGATAAATTCAACAGCCTCACCACTGTAGGTGTGATATCACCACTACAGCCCCTGACTCTTTCTCTTCATAGAGACCAATGTACACTATTTCTCATTTTCAACCATTTTAACAAAGATTCAAATAGATTTTAGTCTTTTGAAAAGTACAAATGGAAGTTAAAAGTTTAATCTACAGTAGGGTAACCTCATCATCAGTGAGCCGTGGTCGTCCATGACCCTGTC